TCAGTATTTAAAAATTATCAGTGAGACTTTCCACCCACCCCCCTTCCCTCTGTCCCTCCTTTTTGTATTTTGCCTTAAAATCTGGGTACATTTTATAGTCAATTCAGACTAGCCACATTTTAGGTACTCAAAAGCCACTTGTGGCTTGTGCCTACCTTACTGGGCAGTGATAAAGGCTCGGGGTACCATGTGAGGTGCCTAGGATCCCCCTGGCCAGCATGATCTAGGTGTCAGCTTCATCTCCATGTCTCTGCAAGTGTTCCCGGTCAATCCTCTACCCACACCCAGAGTGTTACTCATGTCCTGTTCTAATGAAGAACCTGACAAAAATCTTACAGTAACAGTTGTTATATGAACAAGAGGATTTAACTGTAAAAGTGAAACTGGTTCTTTTTGCATTTTAGAAATAAGTCAACACATACAAGCTACATCAAGGGACAAGTATAAAGCTATATTTAGTTTACTTTTCTACTCATTCCCAAAGATCAAGATATTTCATGAGGTAAAACCTGTCTGCCAGAACGAATGACTCACTTAGGAGTACAGGTACTGTTGCTGCTATGGTTATAGTTTGCCGCCCACCATGCACAGGAGTTTCAACCCCAAAGTCATATGTTATAGCATGAACAGAGTGGAAATTTAATTGCACCATGGTATGGAGAGGTGAGCCCTCTGTAAAGTGACTAAATTTAGATAAGGTCATTAGTGTAGATCCCCCATGATTACATCCTGGTGGAATTATAACACCAGGAAGAGAAACATAGATACATATGCTCTCTACCACCTGGGGACTCTGCCCAACAAGAAGGTCATCATTTGAAACTGAAACAATGTGGCAGCCCAAACTTGGCCTTTGAGCCATCCTTAACCATCAACCAAAATAAACTTTTTCTCTTTACAAAGTTAGCCTGCCTCAGGTATTTTGCTATAGTAACAAAAAAGCGACTAACACCAACGTAAATCATTAAAGTTTGAAGAAGAAAATTGGTTCCCCATTTGAAAGATTATGCAGACAAAACTCCTGTCTAGGGAATCTGCATGGATGTAAAATGATTTACAACAAATCTCAAGTCAGTAGTTTACATTCTAGTGGTGTTTTCTCAATGTGTTCTCTGTGGGTTTTATACCTGAATGCCCTATCATAGCAACGCTGTGAGTAAAGGACCTTGGAAGCAGCAAAGTCTTCTTTTGAAAAAAAAAAAAAAAGAAAAAAAAAAGGCAGCTAAGTAAAAAATATGCAGTATGCATCTTTTGGATCCCACAACTATAGTGCTTCTCCCTGTGCCGTCAATCATGGCAATTCACAGTCCTCCTCTCCTAACAATCTCTGCTTTCCTATGTGAACGTTCCCCCTTATACCTTCTTGCTCTAAAACAGAATTCTGAAGTAGCTGTGAGTCAATCTCCATGAAGAAATGTTTCTTCTCAAAGCTAATCAAGGACCCTTCAAATGATGTTTTTACTCTTAACAATTTTTTTGTGTACCAGGGATCAAACTCAGGACTGTGTGCTTGCAAGGCAGACACAGTGTCAACTAAGCTAAATCTTCAGCCCTACTCTTAACATTAAAAAAAAAAAAAAAAGATTAAAAGTACAAATACTCAAAAACAAAAATCACGTTAACTTTCACACAGTTCTCTTGTCCCTATTTTCATTCTGTCCTCATTCTAGAATAAACCAGCAATTCTAATTGAATTTAGAACAGCAATCTGGGGGCAAATTAATTACCTGGATTTCAATCCTGCTCCACTACAAATTACCTGTGTGAAACTGGGCAAATTACTTTCACTTTCCGTGCCTCAGTTTCCTCAACTGTAAAATGGGCATAGGATAGCATAACCAGTACTGTTATGAAGACTAAATGAATTATACATGAAAAGTCCATAGAACAGTGACTAGCGCTTAACAAGTTCTACCGCAACATTAAGATTAGCTTTATGGTTAAGAAAACTAAAACTGCTTTGGTAACAGTTTTTCTCATTAAAGGATGAGGGAAAAGGCAAGTCCACAAAATGTTACATTTAATAAGCACACGTGAAAACAACATATAAAAAATGGCACTTTTATTCTTTAAAACAAAGCAAAATTTAGAAAGGCCAATGAAACAACTTTTAAGGTTTTTATTATCTGAGGAGTATCAACATACGATCTATCATTCATTTTGACTAAAGTCTGAAGATAAATGAAAACAAAGCATGTATGTTAAATATAAGCTTCACGATACATGCTTTTATAAACTTTAACCAATTAATTTACTATTTGGAGTTGACATCTAAAATTGTAAAAGCAAACACGTACTATCTACGTCAATTTATTTCTTAAATTTTCTCTCTAAAAATAATACCTTCAAAGTCTAGAGTACAGTATTTTGTGTTCTTACAACATCATTAATGCAAATAGTAATAACTAAGTTATCTTTAAAATAAATAAAGAAAATACATGTTTCTGATCTACCTGTATTAGTGATTATTACACTACAAGATGTAAACCCACATGCCTATTATAAACTTGGAGAAAAGAGTCATTGGTGCAACTGAAATTCACACCAGAAATGCAAAGTCTTACCCCACAATGTCAAGGACTACGGCGTCCATGAGAGGCGTGGCTAAGGTAATTCAATTATTCGGAAACCTTTCTTACCATTTTGGAGGTACTCCAGAAATATTTTGCTGGCTATTCCAGAGATTTTTTTTCACTTTATGAATTTCATATTTCCTTAGCTTCCAGAGAATTTAACTGTGCCTAAAATATTAGGGTAGTACTTTAGTCCTGACTAAAATTTCCCCAAACTTTTATTTTCTCAAATTAACCAAAAGGTCCTGTGAACATAATATTTCACTGAGTTTTACCACACTAAATTACTAAGATCACCTTTAATTCTATCTTTTCTTACCCCATCTTTGCTACAAATTCAAAAATAGCTCCAAGAAACAAACCCCTCTTCAGCCTGACAAGATCAGAAGCGATTATAACATTTGTGGTTAATTACTGTGGTTGGAATTCTGAAGTGTAGCAGGATTTGCAAACTAGTCATCCGGCTTGTTTAGACACTACCCTACATCAAAACCCAATTCTTTTAACTCTAATGTTAAAATTGGGGTACTTCCTCACTTCCCAAACTCCAAAAATAAAGATGATTTTAGATAACACAGTATATTAACCTGTTTATGAAAGTGCTTTAAAAAGATAAATGACTGATTGATACACAATGTTTTAGGGGAAAAACACTATCAAGTATAAAAACTATTCTAGTTTAAGAGTTTGTAAATAAACATCTTTTCTGACACAATGAAAACATAAAGTGATATAGATGTAGGCTGGTTAAAATTAGTACCTAAACTTGTTCATATGAAAAACCATGCACAAAGTCATCAGGAAAGTACTCTGAATAGCTAGAAAAAAAACTGACATAAAATTCCTTCAACCATTTAAAATTAAGATTTAGGATAATTACATTTATTGAGATCAGGTTCCAATGCCAATTACTAAATTGTGTCATTGGATTATACCTTTATTTACTTTTATTTTCTCATAGTGTTTCACAGTGTCTTGAAATAACAGTTGGAGCGTAATAAAAATACCTTAAAATTCCAAAATTCTTGGATCATTTGAAGATTTTTATATCAGGTAACGCTAATCAAAAAGGAAAAACAAAGGGAATTAAAGAAAGGTCAAACAATCCAGCTTTGAGATTTTTATTATATCTAATATATGATACTAGTGCCTTTTGAGCTTAAATCTGTCTTAGCCTTCTTAAAGAATATGGGAGAGTTCTACAGTCAAAAAAAAAAAAAAAAATCCAGAATGATAAGAGCTACAGTCAACTGTTTTTTGAACCAAATTGTCTTTCTATGTAGATAAGAATAAAATAAGGTACCAGTGTTGTTTTTTAAAACAATCTCATTTTATAAGTGATTTATTAAACTATATTTTACTAAGATATGGTCTGTAGATATATAAGGAAGGAAAGTCTCCTGCACTTAGTATAATTAAAAATTATGTTTGAGTTGCTCTCATCACCTTTTATTGGAAAAGATAGCAAGAATTAATTTTTTGCTAAACTGTCTATATATTGCATGAATAGCCTGATAGCTTTCTTACCTCCTCTGAGGTCAATTCCAGAAGGAAACCATTTATATTTCCAGAAGAAATATAATTTAATTTCAAAATCATATTTGATTTGGAAATATACACACACACCACCCAAACTGAGCATATTCTAGAACTTAAAAAAAAGTAACAGTTAATTAATTCCTCAGGCAAACCTTGTGTAATAATTAAGCCTTTTCAGCCCTAGCTTATGTTTATCTTTTACCAATCGCGATTTTTAAGTATTACACTTTCCAAGGTTAACAGGAAGGTATAAACTGCTAAGACAATTAATAGCATTACCATGAGCAAAAGTGTCAAGTACAGTCTGAAGATTAACCTAATGTTATTGTTTTCTGCATACAGTAGCATACAGATGAACCACAGAAAGTTAGGTACTATATATAACAACAGAATCATTCAAAGGAGGCTTCAGATCCCCCCAAATTCTGTACTTATCATCTATTCAAAAAGTGAAAAATTTAAAAATTTACTGCAAAGATCTTTTTAAAAATTGGAATTACAAAAGGGCAATAAAAAATAAACATGGATATACAAATATAAAGCTAATAGTTATTATATCTATCCCCCTTAGTAAAGATTTGCATCTTAAAGATGTAAAAGATTCTTCTGAATTTTAGAAAATGTTTGTCAAAACATTCCTAAAAACAAGCATGAAACTGGCCACATAAACTGCAAGTAATCTTTAAACACTAAGCAAACACAAAAGAAATAAGGACCACAGAATCAATTTGGGTCACACTGTATCTATCTGTTCCTAAGAACATTATCACTGCCTGGTTGTCATGCTCAGCTCCCCCTTGGAAAATGCACGTACACCCAATCCACAAGCACACAGAATTCCCAGAACATTACCAAATAATATTAAGTCACAGCACTTCTGAAACACACCTTGTAATTGTCCACAGCCTCTGCAGTTCAAGTGAGAGCTCAGCAGGTCTCTTTATCTTCACCAGTGATGTAAATACAAATACCATACATCTCTCCTCAATAGAGACTACAACCCTCGCCAATTAGCAATAAATGTATTGCCTCAGAGATAAATCTCTATTAACCCAAACCCACATTATGTCTTGATGTAAGACCAAGCACATGCTGAGCACCCCGCTGCTCATCTCCTCTATCGTTTGCTTGCAACGATAGCTGACAAACTAGCCACACAAATCCTTTTTTAGCTGCTGATCACAGACAGATCCCCCTTTGACAATCCAGCATGGTGGAACACTCGAAAATTCTTCCTGCTTCTATTCTACTGCTTGCTCTAAAAACCGGTTTCCTTTTCATTGAGATAATAGCCTTTTCTGCAGTCACATGACTCAGAAGCTACATTAGCAGAGCTTTGATAATAGACTGAGTAAGCTTCTACCCCTCCTGCTATTAAGGGGATGTCTTTTTCCTCTCTCTTTCTCTCTCACAAACACGCACACAGTCTCAGTCTCACACGTGCATGAAACGTACACACACAAGCATGTCTAAAATTATTTACTCTATGGAATGCTCATAATAAACAAGAAGGTATATTCTAAAATATAAATACAATTTCTAGATCTGCTGGTAAAAGTAAATGCTCAAAACAAACATTCTGATGCAGTCTTTTCTTCACTAGATGCAGCACGCTGGCCATGAACACTTCCTCTAAACACAGCACTGAGAAGTAGGACAGTTAGATGGAAATATGCACTCTCTCGTTCTCTCTTGAGCTTTGTCCCCACGATATAAATCTGACAAACCTAGCATAATGAACACTTCGGTGACATTATAGCTATTCACATGCAGGGAATTAATTCCCTGTGTCAGTAAAGCACATGTAAGCATGGATTTTTAACACCAAAATGTAATCTTATTAGGAATATATCCTCCCTAAGTAATTTATAAGTTGTTGCAAGAAGAAAAGTGTCCCATGGTAAAAAAAAAATCTTAAAAAGTTGAGTCTGCTCAATTTTATCTATTTCTGACAAATAATCAACTCTCAAAACATACTTAGAAACACTAGCACAGAGCCTGACACACTGGTTGCTCCATAATATTTTCTTAAATGTGCCTAAGCAACAGGTAGAAGTTCTTGAGAAAGAGACAGATTATTTCATATGCCTAAAATATCTCTGGTTATGACCTATTTCATTTTTTTTACTGACCCATAAATGTAACCTTCATGTGGTACAATGTAATGTTTTGATTCATGTGTACACCGCATAATGATTAAACTAGGGTAATATGCAAATCTTTGTTTCATATTAAAATTTGTTTTTAATCCATCAAGCAAGCAATTTTGGGAAGAAGTTTTAATTTTAAGAGTGCTGGGTAGCTGAAGGTGAAGAAAAAGAAGTGATAAGGAGTTGCCCACACTGTTACACAACACGCAATGGGGAAAACAAATACATGAGATGAAAAGAAAGAATTTTAATCTGAAATTTAATAGTTTTACAGATTTAAACTATAGTTTATATTTCTTGGTTGTAACTAGTTTCCTCAACTCAAAAGTAGAATAGATATTTTAATACATATGTTTAAGTTTAAAACATGGCAAAATACACATCAAATTTACCATCTTAACCATTTTTTAGTGTGCAGCTCAATAGCGCTAAGTGCATTCACATTGTTGTGCAGTAGATCTCTTGAACTTTTTCATCTTGCAAAACATAAACTATACCCCTTAAACAACCCTGCACTTTCCTCCTCCCTCCAAGCCTCTTACAAACACTATTCTACTTTGTTTCTATGAATTTTACTACTTTAGCTACCTCATAGTGAAATCATACAGTATTTGTTCTTTCATGTGTAGTTATTTTAATGAAGAATTATTTTAATACCAGGAGATCTCACAGAATCTTTTTACATACACTGCATTATTCATAAGTAAACGCTGCAGTCTTGAATATAGAAAAACCAGGAATTGTTAAAGAAGCAAACCAACAGAAGGAATTACCATTATCACATAAAATTTATCTATACAAAAATGTAATTTCTCAGGATTTGAAAGAATTTGACAATTGTAGTTCCAAAACTCTTAACTATTTTAACCACTCAATATGCAAATATCTCAGGTAGGATAAAGTGGGTATTACAAAAGTCATTTTAAGCCATGAAAGGAACCTTGGCCACTATGGAAGATAAACTTAACTTCTAAGCACCTGAAATGATTAGCAAGGAATCAAGGAATGCAAGTTTCCATAAGGAAGTATCTGAGCAAAGAAATCAAACTAGAAAATAAAATGCTTTAGAGACTAAGAAAATAAATTTAAAAACTGAAAATGCCAGCCCATGACAACACCTAATAATAAAAAGCCACAGCACAAATAAACACTTTAGAACATAACTGAAGTAATTATTTAAAGACCTTTCAAAGGTACAGTGATTTTAACAGCTACCTATTTTCATTATATACTTAAAACTGCAAGTCAATCATCAGACAGGACATCATGAAATTAATGCAATGGTCCACCTATGTGAGAGAAAACTTTTTAAAAACTAGTATAAAAACTGCTGGGGGGAAGTTTGTGAAATCCATCTATGCAAATACTATACGTTCTTTTTCTGCTCACAAGGTCATGAAACCTTATATAGATCATTTCCACAGAGGAAGGGTGAGGTCACAGAAACTCAAACACTAACACCACATGTCCTTTATTAACCACAATGGAGCTTTTGACAAATTATTTCTCAGCCAGGCCCTCGGAAACAGCAAAATAACGTGCGTTTCTTCTCTGATCAGATCATTCATGGTAAGAAAATGTCTTCTGCCAAACACATCTAAGTAAAATGTCTTGATCCAGATTCTGTGCTTACACTTCAAGATGTATTGCTGTTAGCAAATCTGTCCCTCTGTCGTATTTTCTGCTGCATGCACAAATTGGTAAAATCGCATAACTTTCCTCCTGAGTGCAGAAGGTGGCTACAGCAGATTTTATCATTAGCAATTTTAAATTTTTTTCTTCACCAAGGCAGTAAGTAGTGTTTATGAGAGGATTAGACAAGACAATGTGTAAAGCTGTTTCTAGCTTTAACATTTTATGATGGTGGTTGTATTACAATCCTGGTTTGTTTCTTAATCCAGATGGTGAAAGGTCAAACAAGGTTTCAAAAAAATAATGTTTTATTTTCAAATTAATAAACAATTTATATTCAGTGCAATATACAGATCTTAAGAGTAAAGTTAAAGAGTTGAGACAAATGAACACAGTTGTGGAATCCACACTCCTAACAAGAGAAAACTTTGCTTTGTACCATTCTCGAAAATCTCCACTTCTCTCGCTAAATGGCTACTATGTTCTGATTATCAGGCATTAGTTTTACTTTCTCTACAACTTTAAATAGATAGAATCATATGGTAAATGTTCTTTAGTCCTGGTTTCTTTCAGTATAAAGTTTTAAAGACTCATCCACATTGCTACACATATTAATAATTCCTTTATTTTTTATTGCTAATAATATTATATTACATGAATTTACAAGTTTGTTTATCCACTCTCTTGTTGATGGGCATTTGAACTGTTTCCACTTGTGAGCCTGGAGTAAACAGAATTCTAAAATGGGTCTTCAAGATTCTCTACTCCCTGGTGTACACATTCCTCATAATCCCCAACATTGTATTTATGACAGATTTTTAATTTATGGTTAAGTTTTTGTTATGGGGCAGAATGGCTTTAAGATAGGGAGATAATGGAAGTGGATCTGAGCTACGCATATGGTTCTCTTTGTTAGTGTTATCAGAGGGCAGGGTAAAGATGGTACCTTTCAGCCTTCTGCATCCTTAGCAGCAACTAGCCTTGCACTGCTCCCATATATACTGTGGTCAAACCTTTTGTACTGACATTTCTTTATCCTTAAAAAAGATTATGTAGCAATATAAAAAAATTTCCTTTGAAAGGGCCACTTTACAGGGAGGAAAGAGCATGGCCTCAGAGTAAAATTTGATTTGCATTTATATATAGGATATGTCAACAAAAGAAAATTATCTGCATTTTGAGCTTTAAAGAAAAAGTGAAAAACTTAATCACCCACACAAAAAAAGAAAAAGTGGAAGAGAATAAGTAAAACACTGACAGTTGGGTTAAGGTGGACAGGACTACGTATCATTTCCATTCTAATTATCAAACTTTTAATAATGTTGCTTTTACCATTTAAAAATAAGCATTCAAAAGAATTCAGTCTATTATATCAAATCTTTAATTTACAAAGATTTCTTTTTAAAAAAATAGTATTGAGGATTAAACCCAGGGCCTTTATACTGAACTACAACCCCAGCTTTTTTAGTTTTCATTTTAAATCAGAGTCTCACTAAGTCACTAACCTGCATAGATCAGACTTGAACTTGCAATTCTCCTGCCTCAGCCTTCCAGGATGTTGATAGTACAGGCATGCGTCACCACATCCAACTTAAAAAGATTTCTTTATGCTCTCTGACCACAAATTTATTTCTTTCTTCATTATTTTTTATGGTACTGGGGATTGAACTCGGGTCCTTGAGCTTGCCAGGCAGGCGGCAGAACCACTGGGCTAAATCCCCGGCCCTGACCACAAATTTAAATTTTTTCACATGATTAAAAATAAAGCACAGGTGACTTGTTCAACAAGTTGTAGTGTGGACAAATACTTAAGTCGTTTATAATACTAACTAAAAGCCCATCAGCATTGAAATTATATATTATAAATATCAGGTTGTAAAAACTTACCAAAATGTCATAGAAGCTAATCTATTTGTTAAATACATTTTTAAATGCAATGAAGAATGTTTCACCAATAAGAAGATAACACGAGATGTAGTAGTGGCCATCTGCTGTTTCCAGTAGGCATAGGTCTGTATACAATTATGTCTCTTGGGCCCCTAGTCTCCAAGGTAAGCCAAGGACATAAGAAAAATCTGAATACTCTGTTTGTGGATAACATCCTACCAACATTAGGCAGAGATTCCATTCTTCTGATATGTGGGCAAATGAGCCTTAGAAAAGACCCAACTGTACTAAGCTAGCAGAGAGTGCTATTTTGTTGGGTTATTTCTAATAAAAGGTTTATGCAAACAGCAGTGTATAAATGTCTATGACACTACTACAGCAGATTATACCCACACAAAAGAGGGCTGAGGAGAAGGACTATAGAGCGCAATCACTTCTAAATATGACTGCCAAGTCACCACTCTATGAAATAACACACAAATAGCACACTACATATTTCCATCTCAGTATTTGTACTTCATTCAAGGATTTTAGAGAGGTTTCAAACTACAGCATCATATTCTTCCTAATTAGTGCATATGTAAGCACTCTAGGTAAGGTGTCTTTAAAAGGTTCACTTACTGTTAAGTCACTACAGTACCGCTAGGTTAAAACTGAAATTAAATGATCTGTTATCAAGAATGAGAACTTTAATAGCCTATCATTAT